AATAATGAATACAATTCTGAATAAGCTGTGAATGTCTCAAATATGATATTTCTCTTTTATGCAAACGGTGAAATTCGAAAAGATACACATTTTTAAATTCTCATAATTATTCCGTTATCGTTCCCGCCGTGTTTTCTGTACTCGATCAAGAAAAAGAAATCAAAAGAGTATTGCCCCGGACGGGATTCGAACCCCCAATCCGACGCTCTATTGGGAAGGAAATAATAACACCTTCGATCACTAACACTTATTATGATCTCCTCTGATCCTGGAGTTCGTGGGATTGATAGGAAATAGAAGAATGAACACAAAGAATGGTTTTACGGATTGCTCAAAACAATGAACACACGATCCAGCGAATCGGGCTGCTCTGTACTTTTTGAACAAAAATTATGCTGTGGAGCTAAAAGAGAGAGAAAAGGAACGGGATAGACAACGGCTGCTAATCCTAAAAGGTCAACAGATCAATGAGGAGGCTGTCGGAGAACAAATATTCAAAGAGATTCGTGCACAACCATCAGAGAGTGGATACAGTGAGAAAATCAAATTGATCTGTCCAGTTTCATCACCTATTCTTTTAGGTCCTAGCATCGAGATAGCCGAACTCAAGCTTCGTACATACCAAGAAGAACTCGTCCAACCTGCTTTGAAAGGCAAGAATTGTGTAGTTGTCGCACCAACTGGTGCCGGAAAGACTGAAGTGGCTATTTACGCTGCACTGAATCACATCAAAGAAAGACATAATCAGGAAAAAGCAGCCAGAGTGGTTTTGCTGGTTCCAAAGATTCCTCTCGTCAGTCAACACAAAGAGCAATTCTTCAAGTACTGTGCAGGTAAAAAACACGTGTGTGCTCGCCAGGNNGGCCCCAGCAAAATTGCTGGTTTCTCTCATACTTGTAACGGGCCGGGCCGGGCTTTTTCCCGAATTTCGGAGGCCCGGCGGGCCCGTCATTCCACAAGCTTTGAAAATTTCAAAAAACACATAAGGGTTATGTGATTTTTATGTGATTTTCCTTATGTGATTTTTTTCCATCAAAACATTTTTTTCGAGTTTTTTTTGATCAAACAGACAAACAATCCAAAAAGCACAAAAAAAATATAGAAAATTGCTTTAAGAGCTCAAAATTCGGTTCAAAATGACAAAATTTTTGCTACCGGGCCTTCCGGGCCTTGAAATTTTCCTCAGGCCCTGCCCGGGCCCGGAATTTTACAAGTATAGTATTTCTGCTTTCTGCATAAGGAAAAAAACCAGCAATTTGCGAATTGCTTCTCACTGAATAACCCCATAAATGTGACTAGGGACGTTCGGAATGTGTAGTGACCGACGAGCAACTGTCGAGGTCAATCCGAGCTGAGCAACTGAAAGCTAATAAAATCTACTGAACCACCAGGATTGTTATTGCTAGTTATTAGGCTTCTTTATTGGATACTTTTGAATGGGTTTTTCGGAATCTTTCGGAATTTCGAGAACTCCGAGTTCCATCAATTCGGAATATTCCAATTTTCAAAACTTCGGAATTTCGGGTTTTTCACAATTCCAATTTAATAGTAGAAACCCCACTTTCTCATCACAAAAGCGCAAAAAAATTGACAAACAGATTCCGAAAATGCGAAAAAATGCTTCCGCTCGAGAACCACAAGGGAACTTTTCGTGTGCGCCTTTGATATACTGTAGTCCAAAATTTCGAGAAAAAAAACAACTTCGAAATTCTCGGAATTCCGTTTCGAACATTCCTGATACATATGACTGCACTGGATAAATACCAGATGTTTCACAAAAGCACCGAAAAAATATATAAAACAGCAATCGTATAACTTATGTGTTTTCAAACGACACCACAGGGCGACGAAATAATAATTTCATAAAGTGAAAATATTCAAGAGATCGGTGACTTTAAAATATTCCATAAATTGAACATGTGTTAATAGAAAGAAAGAAATTGGATGCAAGTTGCGAGAAATCTTGTTATAGAAGTGTGATGTGAAGAGACATGTTGTTTCGAGCTTGGCGATCCACCGTCGAATTCATTAATTTTTAGAAGATGCTGACTGTTTAGAGCGGGCTGAAATTTAGAGACCGTACGAATCGGGGAGACACAAAAGCGGGAAACACGAAAGCGGGAGACACAAAAGCGGGATACACGAAAGCGGGAGACACGAAAGCGGGAGACGAAATTGCTTAACGTACCACCGTTAATTCCCAAACCGAGAGTAACCAAACGACCGAAAATGATAATCAGGAGCATAAAAAAGGTCTAAAAATTTTTAAAAACATATTTTCATTTATCTCGGGTATTTTATTCACAAATTTACTGAAAAATAGCCTAATTTTTTACAACGGAACGGTGGATTACGGTAAGCAATTGCGTACTTTCTCCCCTTTCGTGTCTTCCGCTTTTGTGTCTCCCGCTTTCGTGTCTCCCGCTTTTGGGTGTCTCCCGGATTCGTACGGTCTCGAAATTTGAAGACTATGAAGATATTTGATTGCGAACATTTACCAAGCTTGAGTCTTCTTTGTTTCATAATTTCTTCTTTCGCTTCCCGCGGTAGCCCCTGCCAGACTCTGGGCTCGTATACAGCGGTAAAAGCATCGTCGGAAAGAGGCATTAGCTCTTGGTTGCAAACGGGCTCCTCCTTACGAATATGATTTCTCTTGGTATAATTTGTCGGTTTACGATCGGTATTCTCGCGTTGCATGTACGAATGTTTATTGTTTCGATAATTTGGTTCTGAAAATTGGCTAATGAATTCGACAAGTGACGATTTTCAACAAACGTCGGCAGGTTTTATAGTCAGTGAACGTTCCCGGTGATTCTCCCTGGCTTTTCACTTTTGGAGAGTCTCCGGATTCCTTCGCGTGATCAGTGTATGTAACACCTACCATTTCGGTCTTATGATGAGAATTATGAAAAATATGACAGCTGAATAGCAATAATCGAAAAAGACAGATATCAAAAAGCATTTTACCTCGAAAAAAAAACGAATCAGGTTACGATTTGAGGATATTTATTAGAAAAACAAAAAAGCAACTCGTTAGTCATTACCAGTTTAGAAATGCGGAGAAAAAATCGTGGAACAGTTGATATCGCAGAAGGTGATACCGGAAAGAAGTTGGACGGTCAAAACTGGAAGAAGAAGAATATAAACGAACTATTGAGAGCCATATTCACCTTATTTGAAAAACCGTAAAATTTGCGTTGCCGCATGACTTCATCTTGGACAACATGAGGCATTCTCTCCCATTCATTATCAGTGTAACGTTTGCAAAATTCATGAACACGACCGACATCTCTCAATGGTTTCAAATTGACGTAGCTTTCTTCTTTTTTCTGCTCGGTGTCAGTTCCTGCATCTTCAGTTTTGCTTTCTTGCACGTTGTTCTCAAAACTTTCTAATTTCTTATCAGCAACTTCGCAAGTTGTATCGTCCGGAGTCGGATCTTCTTTGTTCCCCTTATCATTCAGCTCCTCAGTTTTTACATTATTTTCGTCCGTCTCATTTCCCGGTTCAATTTTCTTCTCTTCATTCTCGGATCCAATACTCTCAGGTCCAACCTTCTCGGCTTCCTCTTCCACTTTCTCAACAGGAACTGTTACAGCATCTGATGTTTCGACGACATTTTGGAGCACGTCCTGTTTCAACTCTGGTGTTGGTTTTTCAGAAGTTTCCTCCTGCTGTGGCTCCTTTTTGATATGTGACGTTAGGAAACCTATTTTGCTGTCAAAGGAGTTGAGCAATTTCTGAAATGAAGCTTAATGAAAGAAGAAAATTGAAACAACTCACTTTCTTCCATTCTTCCTTGATTGTGAATTCGGAAACATACTTTCGCATCGCGGTGTACAAATCCGATCGCGAAACGTCAGGTGGAACATGTTCTGTAAACCAAAACAGCTTATACAAAAGTTACAGCATTTCCTCTAATAGCAGGGCTGGACCAAACGACTAGAAATCGGACCCAAGTTCATTAATGGAGAGGTTTCAGACGACAATCAAGTGAGCATGTATTTCCAGTTGATGACAGTTCTGAAAAATGGGAATAAAGACCAAATAGACAAGTTTGGAAATTTTGTCGCCTGT